AGTTTGTTTACAGACAGTAGATCAGATCAAAACTATACAACGTGATGGATCTCCAACAAGAGCTGTTTTAACTAAATTAAAGGTCAGATAAATGTCTATCATATTTTTCCCTTGCCTTTTTTTAGTCTCGCGCTGTCCTGGAAAAATAAAGTTTACAACAACTGAGGGTTAGACCGAAATGTCTAGTAAGTGAATTCCATCATATAACCTTTTATACATTTATAAAATTTAAATAGCAAATTCAATCCAGATATCAGTTACTAAAAAAACTGTACAACTATAGTATCATCCATCAGAGATAAATCTGTCAATTATCGCGGCTGTCCCGCCATCTTTCACAGGTATCCTGCTAACTATTGCGGCTGGCCCGCCATCTATACGCAGGTACCTTATCAACTATCGCGGGTGGCCCTCCATCTATATGCAGGTATCTTATTAACTATCATGGTTGTCCCGCCGTTTATCACAGGTACCCTGCCAACTATCGTCGTTGGTCCACCATCTATTTGCAGGTATCTTATTAACTATCGCGACTTCCCCGCCCTCTAATGCAAATACCCCACCAGATATACGTATATAATATATAAACATAATAATTAAACCTCGATAAACATTCACAAAGAATAATATCGGTTGAACATTCTCATCGGTCAATATAGGGCCTAGGATTGCCATCATCGGATAATACTTGGACGATGAAGCGCCCTTTCCGGTCAACACTTGGGCGATGAAACGCCCTCACTGGACAACACTTGGGTGATGAGATGCCCTCACCGGTCAACACTTGGGCGATGAGACCAGGGAACCCAACCCAGTTGTAGAATAATTAAAAAAGTAAGTTTACAATAGACATACATGTATATATAAGAACACGATGCTCTTGGCTCAAGCCTCTTCTATCGAGTCGGTTACAGGTTTAAGTTTCTCCTCCTTCACCAACCCAACCATGTAATCCAAATTCTTGGCTTTTAGTCAAAAGAATCGAACTTTCAAGTAGTTGAATTTCTTCAAAGTAGTAGTCAAAAATGTTTTATACCAGCTGCKTTTTTTAACCGGTCAAGATTAACCATTTATTTTTTTCAAGCTGGATTTTTACAATAGATGTCAATATTTATAAACAAAAATTTGAATACACATACAACTTTAATTCTAATATTTTCAACATTTAGACCTTGTAATAAGGTCTATTGGTCTAGGTGGAAAGAAGGTCGACATGCTCAAATTTTGTGCAATGATTTGTATGACGATAAAAGTTAATCAATCAAAACCTTCCAAAAAGTCTAAAGGAGGCAACACCATGCATCTCTTTGAACTTCTCCTCTTCGAATTGTACAGGGGCACACTCCACATGACTAGTTGTGACCGATGTTCTATATACAACTCCTTATACATGAAGGTTTGGCACTGCAACATTGAGAATACCACTTGTAACCCAGATTCAATCTTTTTATCCTCACACTTTTTTCGAGAGTCGAGGGTCTTCGCCCAACCCCCTCCCCACCCCGACTCCACCATTGAGTGGGATATACTGGGATAGTTTAGTGACTTGTGGACCATTTCTCTCAATCACAACCTTAAATGAATACCAACTTTTGTTAATCCAGAAACAAGAAAATCAAAATTACTGATGTTTGTAATAACTTGTACTTATCTAT